CTACAGAAGCAGACGGGTCCACAGGCTCCTGGATACCTGGGTTCTCCCCCATCCCCACAACTGGGGGAAAGGAAAGCCATTTAATAGCAACCCCCCCTCCAAACTGCCCCCACCAAGGACTCACAGCCACTGCTGCCACCGCCACCACCGCTGCTGTATTGGCTCTGCTGGCCATAGCCCTGAGAAGAGTTGTAGGATGACGGCTGCCCATAGGAACTCTGCTGCTGGCTGCTGTAGCTGGACTGCTGGCCATAGCCGCTGCCCCCACTGCTGCTGCTGCCGCCGCCGCTCTGGGGCTGCCCATAGCCGCTGCTCTGGGAGCTGCTGCCATAGCTGGGGCAAGAGGGGAAAAAAGACATGGGGCTGTAGGCAGGGGATCTGAGACACTTGGGTTCCTGGCCTGGGAGAGGGGCACGCAGGGGCTGGGGACCCAAATGCCCATGTTCTCTGCAAATTGCACATGGTCTCATAGGTGAGAACAGAGGGGAACGGGAGCCTGGACACCTGGGTTTTCTGGGAGGGGATGCGAGGGGGTGTAGTGTTCAGAGCTAAGAAGCCCTGGGAGGAGCGCGAGATGCACTGACAGCTGCAGGATTAGGTTCTCTAGGCAAGGACCATGTGCTGCTGGGCTAGAGTAGAGGGAACTGGGGACCCAGACACCTGGATCTCCAGGAGGGGAGGCGAGCGGGGGCTGGTGAGAGCAAGGGGCCTGGGTTTCCCCCAGATACCTTCCACTGGAAGAGCTGGCTGCTGGCTGCTGCGAGTAGCCAGGGTAGGAGGATGGCTGCCCATAGGAGCTCTGTGATGTCTGGCTGCTCCCGTAACCTGTCGAGGTCCCGTAGCCTTGTGGCGTTGACGGAGTACTATAACCTGGCAGGGGGAGAACAGAGACCTCTTTCAACACCTGTACCCCAAAAGTGAACAAACCACCCACCCCAAATATCTGCTGCCCTGATGAACTAGCACCCCTTTACACCTCAGTTTCCCCATCGCGTAAGACAAAAATTACGAGAGCTGACTTAATAGACAGAAGCTACTCAAGAAGCATTCAGGAGATAGCCACCGGCAAGGAGGATGTAGACCTGATGCTTTAACGAGGCTGCCACAAGCGAGATCAAACGCTGCCAAAAAAATAAAGCTGGGGGTGACTTGCCAAAGGGGCAAAACCAGAGAGCAGCCACGGCAGAGCAGCAGAGGTGAGCCTCTCTTGCCGCGGTGGAGAATAAGTTAAAGAGGAAGAGTTGAACCTTACGGACCAGCTAAAACAGGCACGCATATGTCCATACGTAATACCCATGTGTGCATTCACACATGTACATATCTCACGCATACATCCACGCACGAGCTCGGGGCAGTTGGGGGGAGGGGAACATATAGATATAGGCAGGCCAGGAAGGGAGATGTATATATGAAGGCAGGCTGGGAAAAAGAGAATACAGCAAATGTGCAAGCCAGGGCTGGAAAGTGAACATAGGAGGTAGGCAGGCTGTGGGGAGCGGGGGCAACACACGAAGACGTACTGCTCTGCGTCTGGCCGTAGGAGGAGCTGTAGCTGTTCTGGCCGTAGCCCGACGTGTCCCCCGACTGCCCGTAGCCGCTGTAGCTCTGCTGGCTGTAGGGCTGGCTGGCCTGCTGCGAGTAGCCCTGCCCCGGCGGAGTGGGGTAGGCCCCGTAGCTGCAAGAGAGGACGCCCGGGGAGGTGAGATCCTCCTAGCCCCTGGGTGCGGGCACCTGCAAGAGGTGGGCCTGCTGGTTGGACCCGGGGGGGGGTGTACAGGAGGAGACAG